AAACCACCGCTGCATTACCCCTAGAAAATCATGCCTCAAAACATATCGAATTCAGATAACGACGTGAATGGGGATTCCACTGGAATCACCTCGTCCGGTAGGGAGCATCGTGTTTTACGGGTGATACCCGACCGTCATCCGGCCACTGTAGAAAAAGTAAATGGTAGAAAATCCTGAACATTGGTACATGGAATGTCAGAACTTTTGTACAAAACAGAAAGTTTGAAAACATCAAGATGGAAATGAAGAGAATGAACATCAACATTTTAGGCAATGGCCAGGAGCAGGGGAAAAGTATTCAGATCAGCACAGAATTATTTACTCAGGTGGAAAGGAATATAGTAAGGAAGTGTGTATTATTTTGAATCCAAAGAACTCAAAAACTGTGAAAGGATTTTGGACAATATCAGATAGAATACTTTTAGTAAAACTTCGCGGCAGTCCGTTTGACATCAACTTTAGATTTATGACCCAACAGCAGATAGGCTGAAGAATCATATATATAGCGTGGGCAAGAAAAGTTTATAATGGAGCGATAAGACCCCACTTGGAGTTTGGTGCAACAGCATGATCAACAGCGGCTAATTCCCATCTACAATCGTTAGACAGTGTGCAAAATCAAGCCCTTAGACTCATCACAGGATCCATGAAAACTGCACCAATCCTGGAGATGCAGAAAATAACTGCAATGCAGACACTATCATCACTATGGAATCCCACAGAAAATTATCAACTTAGCAAAGGCAACATATAAAGACATGAAATGTCGAGTTCTTCATGAGGGAAAGCTAATAGATGCATTTGAAATAAAAACAGGTATGCGACAGGGATGTCTTATGTCGCCTCTCTTATTTTTACTGGCTATAGACTGGACTATGAAAACAGTAACTGCTAACACCAAGAATGGAATTCAGTGGACCCCTACAAAACAGCTTGATGATCTGGACTTCGCTGATGATATTGCTCTTCTGTCCCATTCACGGAATCAGATACAAGATAAATTAAATATACTTAATGCGAGATCACAGCAGCTTGGTCTGAAAATCCATAAAGGAAAGACAAAGATAATGAGAAAAAATCAGGCAAATAGTAATGTGGTTTCTCTTAATGGCGCCCCACTCCAAGACGTGGAGTCGTTCACCTATTTAGGCAGTAATGTAGATAAAGATGTAGGAACTGATAGAGATATTAAAATAAGAATACAAAAGGCAAGAGAGGCTTTCATAGCACTAGGGAATTTGTGGAGGTCAAAAGAAATTAAAAGAAATACTAAACTAAAAATTGTTAATTCTAATGTCAAATCAGTACTATTGTATGGGCGGAAACATGGAGAACAACCAAGGCAATTACTAATAAATTACAGACATTTATTAACTGGTGCCTGCGCAGAATAGAGGGAATAAAATGGTATGATAGAATAACTAATGTAGAACTTTGGGAGAGAACTAAACAGGCTCCAGTTGATCAGGAGGTGAGGAAAAGACGCTGGCGTTGGATAGGGCACACACTGAGAAAACAGGAGAACAGCATAACTAGGATGTCTTTGCATAGGAACCCACAGGGGCATAGGAATAAAGGAAGGCCAAAAAACACCTGGAGAAGAGAGCTGGAGAATGAGGTTAGAAAGATTGGGAGGACATGGGGAGAGCTCCATGCAATGGCGAAGGATAGAACGACTTGGCGTGAGTTGTTTGAGGGCCTATGCTCCATTGGGGGATAGAAAGGCAGAAGAAGAAGACACTGTCATATAGAAGTAAAACAAACTATGATCCAGATGGAGAAGTTTAATAATAGTATGCAGTCACACCCAATGAATAAAAGGTTAGATTATCTGGCATTGGGGCGTCTTAAACGTAGCAGCTTTGTCCATCGGGGTAAAAGACTTAGAAGACAGTATCAAGCTGATCTACCTATTAGAACAACACCGCTGAAACCTACCCTATACCCGGTACCTTGGGAGCAAGTCAGTGATACAATACAGATAATGAGTTCAGTCAATGGATTCACAACTGGAGATGAGTCCAATGATCTTCAAAAACGAACAGACGGTCGTGGATACATGTTTAGACAGATGGATCAACAACCAGTGCGGTTTAAAATGGGGGTGCTGGAGTCTTTATTACATACCCAGGCAACCACCGCCACACAAAGTGGATACCCACTGGTAAATTCTGTTCCAGCTACACAGCAGAGATTGTAGCACTAGAGAAGGCTGCCGAAATGTTACACAACACCAGTTCTGACTGCCACCAAATGTGGTCATATTCACATATGTGCTATCGGTGCTCCAAGCCCTCGAGCGTGGCAAACTCCCTCACTGGAGATCTGAACTTGGCAAGGTGGCTGCCCAAAAATGTACTGTACTCCAATGGGTCCCATCCCACTGTGGTTTGAGAGGTGACAGATTAATAACATGGGCTAAGTCGCACAGCATGACAATAGGTAAAACCTGGTTTAAACACCATCCTCGAAGATTGTGGACTTGGAAAAGTCCTGGCGATAATGTCCGCAATCAGACTGATTATATTTTGATTTCAAGAAGATACCGGAGCAGCTTAGTTGGAGCAAAAACTAGACCAGGGGCAGACTGCTTTAGTGAGCATGTTCCAGTTGTAGAAAAAATTAGAATAAAACTAAAGAATATTAAGTAAACACTACAGAACATCAAGTTAAGTTTAGGAATACTTAGAAAAGATAAAAAAAATAAAGGAACAGTTCAATGTCACTGTACAAAACCGGTATAATGCAATGGAGATTATACAGACTATTGATGAACAGTGGGATTTGTTGCGTAAGTCAATTCAGCAGACATCAAAAGAGATAATCCCACAAACCCATAGAGTGGCAACAACAACAACCCAAAAAAATGGATGTCAACCGAAATTTTGCAGTTGTTGGATGAAAGAAGGAAGAAAAAAAGAATGATAAAGAAGAATACTCTAGAATACAAAAAGAAATAGTGAACAAATGCAAAGAAGCTAAAGAAACCTGGCTGAATCAAATGTATACAGGTTGGGGAAAATCAAAGGAAAGACTCACATTCCATGTACCAACAGATAAATACAGATAAACAGGAAAGATGACACGTAACAATACTGGATGTTTAAAATAAAAAAATTGCGACTTATAAATGGGACATAGTAAAATAATTAACAGATGGACAGATTATATAGGAGAATTGTATGATGATAATAGACCAGATGTAGAACTGCAGACCAACAATGATGGTCCACCAATAATGACTGCAGAAGTTGAGGATGCAATGCATAATTTGAAGAAAGGAAAAGCACCCGGGCCAGACAACATCTCACTGGAAGAAATCGAAGCACTGAGAGATTATTGATTTAAAAAAATAACTAAACTTCAAATGATATTCATAATACTGGGTATATTCTAAATGACCTTTTAAAATCCAAATTTATAGATCTGCCAAGGAAACCAGGCACTTTAAAATGTGAAGACCATCGCTCAATAAATACGTCATATGAGTCACATGCCAAAGATTTTACTGAGAATAATTATGAGAAAAATAAAAGACAAAATTAAAGCAGAAATCAGCGATGAACAATGTGGATTTGTAGAAGGAAAAGATACAAACAATGCCATATACATCCTAAGGACATTGTCAGAAAGAGTTATAGAAGTAAAGACTGATTTGTACTTATGCCTTATAGACTATACAAAAGCATTTGACTGCGTGAAGCATGAAGAAGTAATCAAACTGTTAGAAAAACTAAACACTGATGGAAAAGATCTATGAATAAAAAAGAATATATATTGGCAGCAAACAGCAGCTATCAGAATTAACAACTGTTTAGCTACATTTCAGAGCATAAAGAAGGGCATAAAGGATGTGTACTGTCACCTGATTTGTTTTTTTTTTTTTACTATACAGTGAATATATAATGAGATCTTTAATTGATATGCCCGGAATTGTGGTTGGTGGGTACAAAATAAACAATCTGCGTTATGCTGATGACACAGTCTTGATGGCAAAAAGTCAGAAAGAACTATAGGAAATAATAGACATTGTGGGGATAGAGAGTGGAAGAATGGGCCTCAGTTTGAATATTCGTAAGACAGACGTAATAATTGTATCAATAAAAATAATTATTCCTGAATGTGTAATAAAAGTCACTGGTGTTATTTTGGGACAAGTACACAATTTTAAGTATCTGGGCACATGGATAACATCAGATGGAAGATGCATAACTGAGAAAAGGAACAGAATAGGACAGACAAAAACTGCATTTTATAGAATGAAGAACATCTTATGTGATATCTCTTGGTCATTGAGGGTTAGGAAAAAAATGCTTGCTTGCAACATACATCCAGTTTTAACATATGGCTGTGAATCCTGGACAATTGTTAGGCAGGCCAAATAATTTCTTGAGGCGTCAGAGATATTGTTTTACAGAAGAATGCATAAAATACCTTGGACAGCCACACAAAAAAAGCAACAAAGAGGTTTTGAAAGAGGTGGGAACCCGAAGACAACTAATCACAAACATCAGAAGGAGACAGTCATCATTTCCGGCCATGTTATGAGAAGAGAGAAAACAGAACATGTTGTGACTACTTGAAAGATCTGTGGAAAGAGGGAAAGAGAAAGACAAGGAGAGAAGATTCTTGACAGTCTTGTTGCATGGCATGGAGGTGTGTCAGCACACGAACTGATACATGCTGCAGGAGATCGCAGATTGTGGAGAGGCATGATCACCCACGCCAGTCGGCAAGGCACTTGATGATGAGGTTCAGAGTGGCGTGTACTTAAGCAGTATTGCAAGTGCTATGTCAGCTTTCGTAACTGACAGCTTGCATTAACAGTTAAACTGTAATTTTGGATGGAGACGGCTGCCTTGTGCATTTTCTTTGCGTGTGCGAATTTAAAGATTTTGCTAGTTTTTAAATAGGACAGCGAAGGACAGGAAAGGAGTAGTCATGGATCCATCCAGTCTGAACCTCGACTAGCAAACTGACAACTACAACACAAAACTCACTCTTTCGAAAGCTTCAGCCCTGGACAAGTCAAGGTAGACTCTGTTGCATTCACTGATGTTCTGACCAGAACTGGATTCAGCCGCTGTCAGGTGAACATCATCATCTGTGGCAAGTATATCCAGGTCCTACACATGTGGACAACAGCAACAACATGTTAGGTGAAGAGATGCAATATTCAGTATGTTCTTAAAAACCACTGACCTCTTGTACAACCCATCAAACTCCCCGAGAAGTCTCTAAGAAGAATCTAAACCAAAATAGAACTGGGCTCCCGAGCCGCTACACGCTGCCGGATTTACTCAAGAGTGGATCAGAGCACTTATGGACTGAATGGGTTTTTTTTTACACTGAACAAAATCTGTCAACTAACTTTACGGGATGAGATTAAGGGAAACGAGAAGCAAGTAATCAGAACTGTTTGTTTTTTTAAACAGATATGTGTTGGAAGTGTCCCCCTTTCTCAGAATTGGAGAGAACCCACAAGGCTATCCTCCACTGTTGAAGCATCCTTGACAAAGTTAGCGTGCACTGACTTACGGGGCCATGAACTCAGTCAGAGACAGCTGTGGCCGGACTGTGGCAAAGTCTCTAGGCAAACAGCTTGAGCCCAGATGTTGACAGTGCTGATGTGGAGTAGTTATGATCTCATCAATGAAGTCATCAACTGCCAGACTTTTAGAATGGGGACCTGAAACTTAGTGATAGAGAAACTGATTTCAGGAACATAAGAAGGGCAGGAGGATGTTTCCAGTTCTCTAATTTACAAAGGTGTTGTGTGTCTGTGTGTGTGTGTGTGTGTGTGTGGGGGGGGGGTGAGATAAGTTTTGAAGCAAGATACACCAGCCCAAAAAGCTGTACCATTATTGCGGATTTACTGACGCTGCCATGTCCCCACGCTAGACACAATTGACAAGTCGGGCCTCCAAACAAGTTCGACTGAATTTCACAGCAGAGCTGAATGGGGTTAAAAGACAGGAAGATGCGAACAAAACCCCACTAGGGAAGTTACCAGATTTTTTTTTTTTTTTTTTTAATGACAGAGGATTACCTTTATGACAGAGGATTTCCTTTATGACAGAGGATTTCCTTTATCACAGAGGATTTCTTTTATGACAGAGGATTTCCTTTATGACAGAGGATTTCCTTTACAACCAGTAAGATTCGTGTACTTGACTTTACCAACAATTTTTACTTACAACAAATCTCTTTGGTATAAGTAAAGAGATTTTTTTTTCCCGCTGTTATTTTATCTACTCCTTCTGTTCCATTTGTGTGTTTGTGTGTTTGTGTGCGCGGTGATTTAATTATGTATAATTGCATTGTCGTTCTGTAGTTTTATGCAGATTGCTAAAATATAGGGAATCAACTGACGTTTAGACACGAATTAACCAATTAAATATTGATTTTTATGGAGACCATTATTTCCCTTTCCGAACTACTCAGTTTCCGAACAACTTTTAGGTAGGAATACATTTCCAGAACCCATTTTCCGCTGTATTTCTCTTTCTCTGTATTTTACTTTGACTTTTACATGGTTATTACATGAGTTGTCAAAGAAATGTAGAGGCTATATGTGATTTCAACCGTTACGTCAATCTGGTAACCTTTACGTCAGTCTGGTAATCTGGTAATCCTAGTTTCAGCTTCATAGCACAAGGGTCACCCCATCTTTGCTCCGCCCCTGTGCCAACGAAAAACACACAGAATGTTTATCACAGTCCCTTGTGGAAAGATTGACAGGAAAGATTGACAGACTGCTGTCTCAGCATATGCACTAGCATACACACGCCTTAAAAGCATACTGTAGCCATCCGAAGTGCTAACACAAACAGTCCGACATTAGAAATGCAGTTCATCATGGATGGTAGCACTAGTGACTAGCAGAAGTCACCAACAGATCAGCAGTTGCACACACGATCAATTTTAATCACATATTGGCAATACCAATATTGCGACAACATACATCGCACAATTTTCTGAATCTACAATTCACAACACCACGTTGGTCACAGTAGAAAAACATTCCAAATGAAATCAGCAACTCACAGTGTCACGCCATGCACTTAACTCAGAAGCTGGGCGACGAAACTATCCTTTCAGTCTACAAATGGAGCAAAAATGCACCAGTCACCGTCTGGCAGAAGCAAAAAAATGTGCATCATTTATACACATATTTCCTACTCTTTCCTTCGCATTCTTCTCTGATGTTCTGCTCTAAAAAAAAAATTATATGCAGTTTGGTCTGGCTGCATTTTCACTAGATGGCCGAACCATTTCATTCTTTGCCTGCCAATATAACTGAGACACGATCTTTTTCCAACGTTGTCTCTGCTGCTGGTATTTCGTAAGCCTGTCCGTTCTTGTGTGGTCAGTGACCTCATGGAGACAGTGCATTTCGCAGGCTGTTACTGTCTGTCCCTTTTCATTGTCCATGTTTGGCACTGACAGCATAAAGTAGGGATATGATGCTAATAAGCGTTTGCTATTCTGCCGAAAGGAAGAGATTTGAGTGTCTAAGCAGTGGAACTAGCAGGTAGGCGACAGTGTTCACTTTCTGTACTCTGGCTTCTAAGATTGAATAGTCTTAAGACTATTCAATCTTAGAAGCCAGTCTATGGTTAAGCACCAGCAAGGAGATAAAAATTAGAATTTTGAGAGCATGCATCTTCCCTGTGGCTACATACGGATATGAGTCGTGGACTTTCTCCCAGTCCTTAAAAAAGAGAATAGGGGCTTTTGAGCTGAAATGCTATACAAAGATTCTCAGAATATATTGGACAAAAAAGAGGAGAAATACTAACATCTTGAAAGATCCGAACATCAAGGAATATTGGCTAATAAACAGCATCCTGTCTCAGAAGCTGAACTATTTTGGTCATACCCAGCGCCACGACGGATTGGAAAAAATGATTGCAGATGGCATGGCGCCAGTAAGGTGAGGCAGGGGCCGAACGACACGAAGATGGGCACATGATATAAGTGACTCCTTGAGTATGAAAGTACATGAGGCGGGAGAACTGGCAAGAGACTGAGTTTCTTTGAGGCAGAAAGTGATGAGAGCAACGTTCTGCAAATGACCTGCTACATGCTGACTATGACTCTGGCTTCTATCCTTGTCGTACCGACAAAAATGATATTGCCAGGAAAATCGTTGACACTTGCTGGTCTGCTTGACTGAGTCAGGAAAATCGTTGACACTTGCTGGTCTGCTTGACTGAGCCAGGAAAATTGTTGACACTTGCTGATCTGCTTGACTGAGTCAGGAAAATCGTTGACACTTGCTGGTCTGCTTGACTGAGCCAGGAAAATTGTTGACACTTGCTGGTCTGCTTGACTGAGCCAGGAAAATTGTTGACACTTGCTGGTCTGCTTGACTGAGCCAGAAAAATTGTTGACACTTGCTGGTCTGCTTGATTGAGCCAGGAAAATCGTTGACACTTGCTGGTCTGCTTGATTGAGCCAGGAAAATCGTTGACACTTGCTGGTCTGCTTGACTGAATCAGGAAAATCGTTGACACTTGCTGGTCTGCTTGACTGAATCAGGAAAATCGTTGACACTTGCTGGTCTGCTTGACTGAATCAGGAAAATCGTTGACACTTGCTGGTCTGCTTGACTGAATCAGGAAAATCGTTGACACTTGCTGGTCTGCTTGACTGAATCAGGAAAATCGTTGACACTTGCTGGTCTGCTTGACTGAATCAGGAAAATCGTTGACACTTGCTGGTCTGCTTGACTGAATCAGGAAAATCGTTGACACTTGCTGGTCTGCTTGACTGAATCAGGAAAATCGTTGACACTTGCTGGTCTGCTTGACTGAATCAGGAAAATCGTTGACACTTGCTGGTCTGCTTGACTGAGCCAGGAAAATCGTTGACACTTGCTGGTCTGCTTGACTGAGTCAGGACATTCTTTGAGTTCTCTCGGTCACGGTCCTCGGATGCTATTGGGTTCTAGTTCTAGTTCTCTTAGGATCAGTTCCTATTACGTTCAAATGCATATCTAATGTCCCATATAATCTAGTCAATGGCTACTGACAGTCTATCTTCACCATTGATGGTGTTTTGAGCTCGCTAAATCCTTACCCCCATTCTCCGCAATAGGCACGAGATTGATACTTGGTTCTCTCGATGACAGGATGTTTCATGCTTCCTGTTAATTTCTACAACTTACGTTTAAAGCTTGTTCAACTTATCCATAAAAGTAATAACGTGACATCGCATATGTGATCTAACATTGTGTGCCGAGATTCTTGATATTTTGCTTGTTGTAGTCAAACTCTCATGCTGGTCCTCTGTTAATCATTCTCCCCATTAAGGGCTCTCCACACAAAGAAAGGTGTGTGTGTGTGTGTGTGTGTGTGTGTGTGTGCGTGTGTGAGTGTGTGTTGGGGGAGAGGCACGCTCAGCCTCATTATATCTTTAGGAGGCCTTGGATGCCGCCTTGTTTCAGCCAAGACTTGCTTCAGCTGACGTGCCATGCTGCTGACGTCACTAACCCGGGCTAGCAATACGTTAATGAAGCGATTCTCAAACTGGGTGCCGCGGCAATAATAATAAAAAAAAAAATTCTAGATCTGCTTCTCATAAAGTTTGCACTTTTTTTTTTAAGTATTTAAACCGCTTTAAGGGTAGACGACAAAAGTGTGAGAATCGCAGCGTTAGCATATCGTTAGCCCGGTTTGGTGACGTCAGCAACAAAGCCTGTCAGCTGGAACCGGTCTTGTTTCAGCAATATATTGGGGGTGGGGGAGGGGGCGCTCAGACCAACTCACCTTCAACATGTGGAATGGGGTAAAATTCAAGATGCCTGATGTGCTGATGCCTCTACTCTCCCGGTCTTACGTGCACACTTAACTAGACTACCTGGCCATGGCCGGTCTTACGTGCACACTTAACTAGACTACCTGGCCATGACCGGTCTTCCGTGCACACTTAACTAGACTACCTGGCCATGGCCGGTCTTACATGCACACTTAACTAGACTACCTGGCCATGGCCGGTCTTACATGCACACTTAACTAGACTACCTGGCCATGGCCGGTCTTACGTGCACACTTAACTAGACTACCTAGCCATGGCCGGTCTTACATGCACACTTAAGGGGTCACTACACGGAATTTTTCCCAATTTATGACAAAAATATCACTTTTTCAATGTGTTCGATTTTGTAAAGTTCGGCATTTGTACAATAGATGACACAAAAAATGTATGTCATTTGTAAACAATTTAGCATTGAAAAGTTAATACTAATGACACCACCTTGTGCACTTTTTTAAGATAAAAAAAAGTTTAAAAGTCAGTTTTCTAAAATCTTTATATTTCAGTTTGCTGTGTGTGTGAAATCCTAAAATCTAAGCTAATATAAAGAGAAGAATCAATAAATTTTGTATGCCTACTCCATAAACAATATTATAGGGACTGGTCTATCTAAAAGTAGATTTTAGAAAGTTTTTGTTTCTAAAATTTGATTATTGTCTTATGATGCTAGATTTTTTTGACTTTTTCAAAAAACCTACATTTTAAAATTCTACGAAAAATATTTAAAAACATGTTTAAAGTAAATAAACTAGACCAGTACCTCTAAATAGGACAAAAGGTCATGGATCTATCATCTATTGTTGAATACCTATGTTTGCTTTTAAAATTTAAGGATTCTAAGTACATATTGTTTTTTTCACAAGATGGCGGCCATTGCCATGACAACTATGATTTTTTAACACTTAAAGTATACAAATGTAATAACATGTATCCCTACAAATGACCATTATAAAATAACTGCTCTAAGTCTGTAAATAAAAAAATAAAAATTGTTGGTGTAGTGACCCCTTAACTAGACTACCTGGCCATGGCCGGTCTTACGTGCACACTTAACTAGACTACCTAGCCATGGCCGGTCTTACGTGCACACTTAACTAGACTACCTGGCCATGGCCGGTCTTACGTGCACACTTAACTAGACTACCTGGCCATGGCCGGTCTTACGTGCACACTTAACTAGACTACCTGGCCATGGCCGTCTTACGTGCACACTTAACTAGACTACCTGGCCATGGCTATTCTGTTGTTGTCTGCTTTGTTTTTTAAGGGTGGCACAAATTAGCATCCATAACCTTGTCTGCGGTTCGATATGTATAATCCAGCGGCACCAGTGTGAGCATTGCTTCAGATCCAAGATGATTGAGCGTTTCATTGATTAGATGTTCCTCGTGCAGGGCTTCTTGCGTTTACATTTCTAAGTTAAAGCAGTTGTTCATTATTCTATAGTCGGTGGCTTCTACATCTCGTTTTTTTACTATTTTAAGACAACATATTCAGTTTGGTTGGAATGAGCGAGGACTTAACTTTCAGTGTTAGATGAGTTCGCAAGTGGGTCTACAAGGGTGTTGCCAGTGTAGAGTTTACCTGCATAATCTAGCATGACATGTAGTCTTAGTTAATTATTTTCAAATTTAATTTTGTTTTCCTGGGGAAATTTTAAACGTAATTTCTCAAACTCTGCAAATACGTGCCTGTATGGTTTATAACTGCTGTGGTGTATTTTAACATAGTTTCTCAGTCGGAACTGCAGAAAGTCGAACACGGACAAATGTAGCATGAGTGGATACTGAGTGGATACCCAATGGATACCAAGCATTAGTACGTCATTTGTACAGGGACTCAGATGGATAGATTGTCCGAGACATGGGGAAGTGCCAGCAAATGACAAGACTGATTTTGTGGCGACAAAAGCGATCGCCACAGGAGCCCTGGTACTGGACAACGGAGACATTCTGAAGACCATTAATGAACGAATGCTGACAGAAGACACATGGTTAGATAAAATAACGTGCAAGAATGTGTGAACGTGGAATCATGGGTGGGTCGGCGAGGAGGGACGTGTGAGAGAAGGAGAACGATGTGTACAAGGTGTGCTGTAAATCCATATTATAAATGTAACAAGAACACACTGGGCACCGGTGTCTACACAAACAACACTTTCAGTGAATGGATGTCAGCGGCTGAGATCAATGTTGTAGTCTATAAAAGCCACTGTGAAACATCCCTTCACCTTTTGTTGAAATGTCCATTTATTACATGCCAACCAATGAAATATATGACAAATATAACCAGATTGTTCCATTAGAGTATTCATAAAAAACCGCTAATTGTGTTCATGTATAAACAGATTCGTTAGAAACAGACCTAAGGCCAAAACGTGCATATCAATCACAAACAGACTGACACCTTTATACATACCCTCCTCAGTAGGCTGGCGTCCGACTGAGATCTCTCCAAAAAGCGGTATGTGTCCAGCCGGTTGACATCAAGCTGTGAGGGCTGAAAGGCCCCTGCTGATGGTATCCTATGCAGACAAGAGCCTGGGCTGTCCAATACATCATTCATATCAGCCTGCACCAGGTCAGTCATCTCTGTAGATGCTAGGTCCCAATGCACAGGCGAGTTGACTTGTTTCGGTGATCTGATGCTTGTATTACTCCTGGAGGTAGCAACATCCTCTGCCTCTTTCCATCGTTTTTCTTTTACTGTGGATTGATGACCAGCTTGTGAACTCAAAGTATTCTGAATCTGCTTGTGGGCCCGGCTTTGGTCTAATGTCATCGGATAATCGAAATCTTCAGCGTGAGAACTGCTGAAGTCTTCACGTTCCCTTGTGATCAGCTCTGAGAGTTGGGCTTCACCTGTTGACTGGCATGTTAATGAGCACAAGGGCTGTGATTCACTCTCAACAGAGAAAGGAAAAGACGAAGTCAAAGGTTGCTGGCAGGTGCCAGTGTCACCACAGTTCGTGATGTCAGTCGTTGTTGTTGTGCTGGTTCCTGTCGAAGAGAGGTCATTTGTAGATCATTATTGTCGTCAAATATGTCATGTGCACGAAAATACCGAATTATACTTTCCTAATTACCTAATTACTAAGATTTTACTGAGAATAATTATGAGAAGAATAAGAAACAAAATTAAACCAGAAATCAGCGATGAACAATGTGGATTTGTAGAAGGAAAAGATACAAACAATGCCATTTACATCCTAAGGACATTGTCAGAAAGAGCTATAGAAGTAAAGACTGATTTGTACTTATGCTTCATAGACTATACAAAAGCATTTGACTGTGTGAAGCATGAAGAAGTAATCAAACTGTTAGAAAAATTAAACATTGATGGGAAAGATCTACGAATAATAAAGAATATGTATTGGCAGCAAACAGCAGCTATAAGAATAAACAACTGTTTAGCTACATTTCAAATCATAAAGAGGGGCGTGCGACAAGGATGTGTACTGTCACCTGATTTGATTTCAATTTACAGTGAATATATAATGAGATCTTTAATTGATATGCCCGGAATTGTGGTTTGTGGGCACAATATAAACAATTCACGTTATGCTGATGACACGGTCTTGATAGCAATAAGTCAGAAAGAATTACAGGAAATGATAGACATTGTGGTGTTAGAAAGTGGAAGAATGGGCCTCAGTTTGAATAATAGGAAGACAGAAGTAATGGTGGTATCAAAGAAACAAATTATTCCTAAATGTGTAATAAAAGTCAATGGTGTTATTTTAGGACAAGTACAGAAATTTAAGTATCTGGGCACATGGATAACATCAGATGGAAGATGCATAACTAAAATAAGAAACAGAATTGGACAGGCAAAAACTGCATTTTATAAAATGACTAGCTGTACCCGGCCACGCGTTGCTGTGGCATAGTTTGGCTAAATGGAAATGAAAGAAAATAGAAAACGCACGTGTCTAATACAATCATTGTCTGCTCAGATATAGAGATAGTCTTTGATCCCCGCCCAACACCACAACTAAATCCACCTACTACTATCTCCCTCATCAAAGGTTTTTGGAAAAGAAAGACAATGGAAATAGCACGTGTCTAATACAGTTAATGTCGCAATCATTCTCTGCACGGATATAGCGATAGTCTGGTTTTCCAACTTTAGAACACGCACCTTATAATTGTGTCTTTATATTAGTGGTCGTTTAAATGGTGTTATTAGCACAGTAATAAAAATGGTTATTTGGTTATCACATGCTAAAGCTGTTTGTATTTTTATAGGGGACGGAAGTAAAGCTACAACTGTACTTGTGAATAACAAAGAAAGTCGTAAAAAATAGAAAAGCGGAGGTAGCGTTAGTAAAACATAAACAAATTAGGTAATGAGAACTTGAAAATCAAGTGTAAAGCACTTTAAGTTCTCTTAAATTTAAGTCATTACCCCCTCCCCTCTTCCACCATCGTGTTACCATCGGAGTAGACAGAGAGTCGTGAGCCAGAAGATTTGGTTCCGCATGGCTAGTGCTGTCGCCACAGACTGGTCAGGTTAGGATGTATAATTTCACTTGCCGACAGAAGAACGCCATAACCTTACCGGCGGTCTTCACATGAGAGCACTATGGTGTAACAGCCCTGGTGTAACAACTATTACTGCTGCTGTTACTTTAAGTGGGTAAAGCAGTTACTGTGGACTTAAAGCTCTTTCAGTTAATAGTTTGCCCCCCCCCCCCCCTCCCCCCAAATTCACCGACAACTCTTTCCCTCATTGAAGTAGTTGGGAGAAAAAAAAAAACACTTGAAAAGCAAACGAACACAGGAAAAAAACACCATAATTAGGAAATGAACGCCATTGTAAACAGCACAGCTTAAAATTCCAACACAGATGAAATAACTAAATCTAAATGAAAATAAATGAAAATCTATAAAATTTCAGCGTAACCATGCAATCGGAAAGTTTAACAATGCAATCATAAGTATGCGAAATGGTCAAATTTAATTATCAAATGGTTTACCCATTTACTTTTTTTTTTTTTATATTAAGGCAACATGGCTAGTGCTGTCACCACGACAGAGCAGATGAGGATATTATTTTAGTCCGGGGTAAAAAAAAAAATTTTTACGACTGCGGATTCGAACCCAGGTCTACCGCACATGAACCCAGTGTTCTAACCATTCGACCAAGCAGCCACTTAATCGGAACAACGAAAATAGAACTCAACAATTAGACATGTGTCTTCTACTGTGTCGCGATTAAAACACAATTTAAAACCGCAGGCAATTGTTTTCTCGTAGACAGATACTCCAGATATATTAATGAAATAGAAATCGCACGTGTCTAACACGGTTAATGTCGCAGTCACTGACTGTTTGCGCCGACGTCGAGATAGTCCTTGATTGCCCCCCCCCCCCCCCCCCCCCCCCCCAATCGAAGGTTGTTTGGAAAAAAAAAATAGAAATCGTGTAATATGGTTATTGTGGCAAATATAGAGATAGTCTTGTTTGCTGTACCACTACCTACTCTATGTATTAGTATTAGAGAAGGCGTTGGCTGCACGTAACTCGCCGGCGAATGGTAAATACAGCGCATGCGCAATTACTAACGTGGCTATAATTAGAAATCACTAAAGTTATAAATATTAGTTGCGTATATTATTGCATAAATTGTGGTCACCTATCTCTAACAGTGACAGGTTGAATTTCAAACCACGACAGTTCAAAATCCGGTATCACAACAAACATATCCTGAAAATTTCAGCTAAATCGGTTCAGTAGTTTCCGAGTCTATAGGGGTGAAACAAACACACAAACATTGATTTTTATATATATAGAAAAACATCTTGTGCTATTTATCCTTGTCATTGAGAGTTATAAAAACAATTTTGAAAGAGGCGGGAGCCCAAAGACAACTTATCACAGACATCAGAAGGAGACAGTCATCATTTTTCGGCCATGTTATGAGAAGAGGGAAAATAGAACATGATGTGACCACTGGAAAGATCTGTGGAAAAAGGGATAGAGGAAGACAACGAGAGGAGATGCTTGACAGTCTTGTTGCATGGCATGGAGGTGTGTGGGCACCCGAACTAATACATGCTGCAGGAGATCGCAGATTATGGAGAGGCATGATCGCCCACGCCAGTCGGCAAGGCACTTGATGATGATGATGATGAATTACCTTAACTTTGGAATTTCGAAGAAAACTATCGACTGTTATGTTCTCTGCATTCCTTAAAGACAAATCGCATATTATAGACACAGCCCGTGTTTGAAATTGGCCTGTATTTCTCAGAATTCATATTCCATGTCTTTTCAACTCTTATAAATTTTTAAGATGAAATTTGCAAGCACGACTGATGAGTCAAGCTATAGTCTGATAGCTGGTGTGAAATCGTTAATTTCCTTTCTCTTTAGGATATGGATGTAAATTGTGCCATGTGATCGGAATCATTTCAAAGCTGTTCCATATCTTCACACACAGTGACTATGGGGACCGGGCACGGTGCCAGAAAGAAACCATTGGGTTCACTTATAATTTAGAACATAAAGGCTAGTTTAAGTGCGCAACTTCACTAGAATCTGTTCTCTAGTTCACTGCGATTCATACCACTTCACGTTGTTTTCTCGTTTAGTCCAAGTTTTGTTGTTACCTGCACACGCCAGCTCATCTTACTAATTGCAATGGCAACCAAGCATCATGCCATTTACCTGCCGAGAGCGTCGCACACAGCACGACCTCAATAGCTCCAGCGCCGACTCCCAGGGATTTCTCCGTAAAAACTACGTTAGTAAACTGAACGACGCCACCGTGAAACGAACCCACTACCTTCAGAGCGCATGGCAAACAGCTTGACTACTTCGCCATGGAGGCCCTCGTCACATAAACAATAAGAAACCCTACCCAGAGGGAGAGAGAGAGAGAGAGAGAGAGAGAGAGAGAGAGAGAGAGAGAGAGAGGGAGAGAGAGAGAGAGAGAGAGAGAGAGAGAGAGAGAGAGAGAGAGAGAGAGAGAGAGAGAGAGAGAGAGAGAGAGAGAGAGAGAGGCAGTCCCCACTAAACCAATAACTTATTGCGGTAGACACAAGCTAATCTAATCTTAAACTTCCTTCCTAACAATTTGGCAGTTTCTAAAATCTTCCATCGTCATGTAGCTCTACACATCCTCACTGGAATCCAGACACTCCGAATGTCTACAGTGTGGACCCAGAGTGTCCTACACTCCGAATGTCTACAGTGGGGACCCAGAGTGTCCTACACTCCGAATGTCTACAGTGGGGGCCCAGAGTGTCCTACACTCCGAATGTCTACAGTGGGGACCCAGAGTGTCCTACACTCCGAATGTCTACAGTGGGGACCCAGAGTGTCCTACACTCCGAATGTCTACAGTGGGGACCCAGAGTGTCCTACACTCCGAATGTCTACAGTGGGGACCCAGAGTGTCCTACACTCCGAATGTCTACAGTGGGGACCCAGAGTGTCCTACACTGGACAACCTAATATTCAAGTCATACTCGTTAGAAGCAGACTACCATCGTTAACTCCTTACCCACGCAGGACTGCAGGCTACATCAGACTGGTGTAGCCATTCAGGGTGCCCAAATTATAACTTCTTTTAAGACTGAACGAGTTATCTGGGATTGCCATTTAGGTTTATTGTCCGTATTTAGATTTTTTTTAAATCCTAGTTTCTCCAGCATTAAGACATCAGCCTGGAGTGAAGAAACGATACAGACTACCGTTGATCCACACAGCACTTTCCCTTCAGCACTTCTAAATGGCCCTGTACTAAATGCAAAACATGATCCGTTGAGACGGAAA